TGCCACCCCTCGCTTTGAAAATGGAATGTGCTTGGCAATCTCGCTATCGTCGTGCTCGTGAACAACAGTGCCGCGTGTCGCAGTTTTGCGGCTTCGGCCGATGGTAACTTGTGCTAATATTTTTCCGTTGAGACTGTACATACCTGTCATACCCACGCTGACTGAAGCGCCCATGCACTGCAGTTTCCGTAGGACCTAGCGCCAGATTTCACTGTGGGGTGTTTTTCACATGGTGTCGTTCACCGATCACCTGCAAGATTCGACGCATGGTAAGCCGCCCTTTTTTTCATGTTCCTGTGATGCCCGCTTCTTCTGCAAATGTTTTAGTAAGATGGCGGAGTTTGGCTTGAATCACTAAAACAAAATCTTCCGAGATTGATGGCGTGTTGAGACAATACAAAAATGTTTCACGACTTCTCCGCATGCGTCGTGGAACTATAGTGACAAAGACGTATTCCACGATGTGATTATGTCATTCATACTAATTTTGGTAGAAATAGGTGTTCGTCAAATTTATTTGCTGATCCCTACTCCCCCCCCCCCTTCACACAAACAAACACGCACGCATGCACGCACATCACTATGAACCATTTGAATTGGTGTGTACATCTTTGGGGAGAGTCTACTAAGATGTTTTGTTATTATGGTATCTAGCTAAGTTAGTTTTTCTTACTAGGTCATGAATACATTATTGAACTCACAAATGAACAAACAAAAGAGAAAAAAAAACGATTATCAAGGCCACCACAACGACACAAATTAAGCAGATAAGGCATTTATACTGGCACAAACTTATCAAGCGAGCACCCGGAAAACAGAGGACGATGTCTTGTCACACAGTAGCTAAGGACCAAAAAGTATTTCATCATGTACTTATTTGAAGACAAGACGACCATGACACTCTAGCCCATCGAAAAAGGAGTGAAAAATCGCGAACAGCACACACTGTTATCATTGTGTCAACTAATTGTGTTGTTTCACCTCATCGTCTTTTGTGTTAAAAGTTCACTGCACCCTTTGCTCATCGGCCCATGGCCAACATTCAAACATCTTGCACACTGTGAGAAGTCGTATAACGAGTATGCTCAATCACCGACACTGGAAACTCCCCTGTTGTCCACCTTGATTGTACTCGCTCGGATAGGGAAGACGCCTATGTGGATGCCGCCGGACTACTGCAGAACCGCGCCATGGCAGCCGTGGTTAACAGGGCCGGTTACGACAATGACGCTGTTCAACGCAGCAACAGGCGTCTAGCTGAGCACTAAAACTTGTTCAGAGCACAGGATATTAACTTGTTAGACAAACTGTAACGTGACTTACATCATCACCCTCATATCCCGATCACAGTATTTTCTTTTTTCTCCTTCTCCTGCTCCTAGGGCCTTTTTGTTAATCCCCTTTCGATACAGAGTAGCATGTAGGCGCCTTACATACGCCGGCAGAATTCTCTGTGTTAAATGCGAAGCATTTCTTTGCGCACTGCAAGCACCTTTGGCATCTATTTAGCCGCCTACGTCTGGTTGCTCTCATGGTCACCCGTTAAACTTGGTGTACACCAAAATCAGTACGAGACGATAAGACGGTTTGACGAATACGACGCGCTATAGTCATGACGTGAATAGTGTCCCAATCTGGTCACGTACGTCGTCAAACACTTTCCAAAAAAAAAAAACAGTGGCACATACCCGCAGGCGTGTGTGTGCCACAGGTGATAGACATATTATATTTAACCAGGAACGGGGAAAACATACTTGGGTGATTTAACGCTTGAACGTTCAGAAAAGCCGACATAGGCAGCACTGACCAGACGAATGTAAAGAATAAATGTCAGTGTCCGAGCGGGAATAGAACCCAAGCCTTCTGCGTGGCAATCATGTATTCTACCACAGAGCCATGCCAGGTTTCAGAAATACTCTCTAATGTGCAAGGCTTTTTTTTTTCATTCATGATGAGTTTCCTTCGTCACACCACCGTGCATGTTCTTTTCTGTGACGGAATAAAGAGTCCCATTGCTCGTGTTTGTCGCTTCATTCCGTTTCATATATGAAGTGCAACGCTGTGGAAGCTATGCAAGAAGTTCGGTCCACAAAATTTGTGACTACGCATGTCTCATGCTTACCTGCCGATGTTGATTGATATGTGGGGTTTAACGTCCCAAGACCACAATGTGATTATGAGAGACGCCGTAGTGGAAGGCTCCGGAGATTTCCACCACCCGGGGTTCTTTAACGTGCACCCAAATCTGAGCACACGGGCCTACATCGTTTGCGCCTCCATCGGAAATGCAGCCGCTGCCTGCCATCGTTATAAACACTCGTGCATGTCGAGCACGTGCATGTTGTGCATGTCGAGCACACACGTGCAAACGACACGCCTCGTTAGAGTGACCAATGTGGTGACTGTTTAGATTTTTTTCTTCTCTGTTACGCGTGAAGTATGATTGTGCAGTTAAACATGTTTACGTAAGCAGAGCCTTTTTGGTCGTTTTCAACATAGTAATTGCAGCAGCACGTGTTGCTATCCAAGAATCTTCCGGTTACTTCACTTATCACTCCCTAACACCGAAACAGGGATCTTGTGTTTCAAGTTGTGCTATAAAGTAAGAAAAGACTATTTTTCCGTTTTCAGCTGAAAGGGAGGCACTCAAATTAAGGACTAACTGTTATATTGTTGTATCCAGCTTAAAATAAAGTGTACTTGAAATGTTTGACCAGACTCGGGGAGAAAAATTTTGAAAACGAGCAGGCTACCCCTTAAGGCTTCTTTTCCTCACCAATACTGCCAGGCTACACCGGCACACAGAACGAGAAACCGTCCAGCACCTGTGTTTGTAAACAGCGATAGGGTCTATAGTGTCCATTGACGCGCAAAGTATAACAGTTCATTGTCCGCAAGACAACCTCTTAGAGCCTCGACAGCCCATCTGTGTTTGTTGAGATATGCAGATTGGGGAGTGTTGTGCCCTGACCGCTACACAGACATGTCAACTCCCCCATGGTATTCGTTGTCATAGTGGAGTTGGCTCGTTGGTTGGTTGGTTGGTTGGTAGCAACTTTATTGGAAGTCCGGCAGAGCTTTCGCCGACCGGACCTAAGGTCTCCCGCGTGGGGACGCCAAGACCTTGCCTGACCGCCGCCTCGCGGGCCTGCTGCACGGCCCAGAGTTGGTTGCCGAGGCTGGGGCTGCACAGGGCAGCGGGCCACCGCGGCGGAAGGCTTCCGGATTTAGCACCTTGCGGATTTTTGGCACCATTTCAGAGCATGTGACTTAATGTGGGAACCTCAATATGGCATATCTTGCATACATTCATAGGATATATATTGGGGTATAATCTGTTAAACAGTGATGACTTAGGATACGTGTGCGTCTGCAGCTGTCGTAGAGCCACCGCCTGCATCCTGTTCAGCTTCTCGCTGGGTGGAGGAAAGGTTCGGCGGGCCAGGTAGAGTGCCTTGGTAATTTCGTTATAGGTCGTCAAGCGGTCTTTGGTGTTTCCCCATAGAGGACGGTCGTCGGCGCGGTTCACGAGTTCACGCGCCTTGGCGTGTGGCACATAATTATTTCCTCCCCTTACCGTCATGCTGCATCCCTTCCGCACCAAAGAACTGTGCGATGGTGCCCTCTGCGATGGGCCTCTCGAGGTCCGCCTGTCCCTTAGTTCAGCGGGCCCGGATGGTCGCCGAGATCACCATAAAAAAACCTGGACTAGGGTTCTCTCCCACATATTTGGTTTATATGTAGTTTAAATGAAACGTTTTTTTCTCTTTCTCTGTGGCAGGGTCATGGTCCGGACACTTTCCTTACTCAAATAAGTGGGCACTAATACAATGGGTTTGGCCGACTGCGACATCGCCTATCCATGCTTGCCACGTGAGAGACACGTTGTGCACGCTTAAGGAGAGAATTCACCACAGAAACTTCCATTGTGCTGCATTGCGGGTACCTTTAACGCGACCGCGTTAAAAAGCTAGTCTCGCAGAAACTCCAGCATCGGTGAGGGCGTCGTTGGCTGGGACCGAAAAATTGATAAAGATGCAAACAAAATCAACAATGAAAATTTCCGAGCCCGAGTGAGGTCTGAACCCGGACCCCTTGCGTGGAAAGCAGATGTTCTACCACACAGCCACCCGTTTTTTTTACAGTGAAAGCTGTTATGAGATCACAACACGGGTCACGCGTGGCACTGTACTGATTCACGCCGGCGCTTGGGACTCGTTCGCAAACTTGCCTTAGTCAGGCTTGATGCCGGGAAGGGAATCGCATTAATACGATTAATAAAACGTTTTAGAACAGCAAAGGAACAACCAGGCGTCACACAATGCGAGTAGCTTAACGAGTTGGTCGTCAAATGCCCCGATCCGTTACAAAAGCTTGTTCTTGATCATTCATTAATTGTGGCGCATACCCACTTAAGGCATAATTTCTCATCGTCATCAGCCACTGCATGAACAGTTGGCACTAAATTGCTTGCAAGTGTTTAGCGGATACCACGCTTCTCCGAAGAAAGACGAAAGATAGCATAGTGAATGACCACCTACTACCTAGGAATTATCAATAATAAAGGCGTAGTGGGTACCCAGAAAGTGTGCTCGTAGCAGTTACCCAAAGAGAGTTTACGAAAGTCTCTGAAAGGCCGCTCTTCCAGCTTTCGCTGTGACTATGCTGCGCCTTCCGCGCATGCCTGGCGTTTTTGATTGTTCATTTATATCCACTTGTATTTTTTGTACGCCTAAACAACCTGTGTTATTGTGATAAACACAGGGCTATATATTGTTAGCCGCATAGGGGTAAGGCGTACGGCTGTCCAGCTGCGGTGATGCTTCATCACGTCGTGTGAACGAACTGCTGCGCCTAAATTATTCACGAACGCCGGCAAAGCACTAAGCGTACGTTGCAAGTTCGCAACAACCAAGTACTCACAAGGTTGCAATCAAGCATCACTTGTATGCTACAAACCTTCCGCCTTATGAAACTAACGGACAACAATGCAAGCAAAGTATACGAACATTACACATCGTCTTTAATTGTCGGGTAGTAATTATGACATAAACGAAAATGAATTAAAGTGGTTTAACCAGCACCACTATAAACCGAATACCCGTCATGCAAGCAGAGTGCTTGCCACAGTCATTCCACAATAAAAGAACATATATGTTGTTTTATTGTGGAATGACTGTCACTATAGGAAGCGCCGTGAACTTGTAGCGCTTAGCATCGCCTGTATTTATCTTGTTATGTTGCATTGTATTTCATGAACCACTCATGTTTTCGAGCATCCATTTGGTGTTCGTACTAAGCGCATCAGAGTAAATGTGAAGACTACAGACGATAGATTTCCGGACGCTGCTGGTGTATGTGTCCCATCAGCTTACATCAGGATCATCACCATCATGATCATCATCATCAGGTCTCAAGAGGCAAATTTTCCCGAGAAACTGAACTTTGGAATGCTTTGTCTGTTGTGCAAAAGCAATGAGGACCACCAGCCGACCCGAAGCCTAGTTCCTTCTTGTGAGCACAATGTCCTGCTTTTCGGGCATCAGGAAGAGGCTGGAGCCAGAGCCGTTGAGACTCACATCCGAAGGCTTCCCCGGTGCGCTGCAGCTTAGTCGCTGCATGAGCCGCACGAGAATGTAGAACATGTCCGCGTGCGCCAGTTTCTCTCCTGGGCACGTGCGTGGACCCATTCCGAAGGTTATCAGAGGGCCGGCCTCCTGGCGCAGTTGTCCTGTAGCTGAATCCAAGAAACGCTCGGGCCTGAATTCCTCCGGCCTCTCCCACATTGTGGGGTCGTGATTTACGCCGTAGACGTTGTACAGTATACCGGTGTCCTTGGGTATGACCAAGTCTCCTGCAAAACGAGAACGGTTATTCTTATTAGTGCTCTCGACTGCTACATGCAATCGGCGTGGATCTTTTTCAGCTTAAGACTTGCATGCCGGCTTCCTACTCTTCTTCAAAAATTTCGCAGAAATGCATGACATCATTACACGCAATGGCTTCTAATATCAAGCCTGCAAGAAATTCTCTGCACGTGCTGCTTACCACTATTGGTATATCGGATACTGCAGCGAGGACATTTGCCCCATCCCTAATAATTGTTTAACTTCAGTGATTGCTGCAGGATATACACCCGAGTGATCTGTAGCGCAGCGGTTTACCAGAGGCTGCTGCTGCGGTAGCAGCGTTTATGCAAAAACATAGATTTGATATTGCCCCGCCGTGGTGGTCTAGTGGCTAAGGTACTCGGCTGCTGACCCGCAGGTCACGGGATCGAATCCCGGCTGTGGCAGCTGCATTTCCAATGGAGGCGGAAATGCTGTAGGCCCGTGTGCGCAAATTTGGGTGCACTTTAAAGAACCTCAGGCGGTCGAAATTTTCGCAGCCCTCCACTACGCCGTCTCTCACAATCATATGGTGGTTTTGGGACGTTAAACCTCACGTATCAGTTATCATCATAGACTTGATATCCTATCTTGAAGGGATCTACACTTTCTTGGCACTGCTACTGGCATCGCAACATCTCGTTATGTAGTTACAAATGTTGCATTATGCTATATTATGTTATTGACATGGCATATCTCTCTCTCATCATCGCCATCTCTTTATTGCGTTCTTGCGTCTCGCAGCAAATTTCGCGCTGTTTCAAGCGAGCGCTCCTATCCCTGTGCATATTACATCTACATATTAATACTGAAAAAAATTATTCAACACCTTTTACGATGTATCACCGCCTATTAAACATCACTAACCGTTCCATAAAAAAACAAATATATTTTGGCAGTGGTTTTACTTGTTTAGTGCTTAAAATGCATTCTTGAAGCATTAAAACGATGAAAACATCGCCAAAATGAAGACGATATTTTTAGTTGCGAAAGCCAGTGATTGATAATAAGCACTAATAAGTTTTAGAGCATTATACTGATGAAATTCGCTGTGCTCGGTAAGAAGCATTAGAACTACTAAGGCATTTAAGTTAGTTCTTCCGCGACGACTGACTTCGTAGATGACACCAGTTGTTGTTAGCGTACGGACACCGACACGAATAAATCAAAAAGGAGTGCCATATAGAGCCCCCGGAAAAAGAGAAATCAAAAGTAGGATGACTTACCGCAATATACCTGCGTGCATGATACTTTCACATATTGTCACACACAGTCCAATCTTTTTTTATGTTTTCATGTTACCGGCCCGTTTCACGCGTGCGAAACAGCGTTGCTCAAACAGCCACACATTGTCTGAAAGCATTTCATATTATATCACTATCACCTATTAGTCTTGACCGCGCAAACACGAACAGCCGAGTTTATTATTCTCTAAGAGATGTGGCAATCAGGAATAACGCTCGAATGTTCGATGCCATTCGTATAAATGCCGACGCGCCTTGCCATGGACCAGATTACTCGATGGCTGATAACTGTTCATGCCGCTATCAATGTAGTACAGCATGCGTTGCTTGTTGCCTGACATTCCTTTTCCCGGCCACCAATTCGGCCAGCTAAAGAGTTTGATCTTGGATACGATTGATTGATATGTGGGATTTAACGTCCCAAAACCACCATATGATTATGAGAGACGCCGTAATGGAGGGCTCCGGAAATTTCGACCACCTGGGGTTCTTTAACGTGCACCCAAATCTGAGCACACGGGCCTACAACATTTCCACCTCCATCGGAAATGCAGCCGCCGCAGCTGGGATTCAATCCCGCTACCTGCGGGTCAGCGGCCGAGTACCTTAGCCACTAGACCACCGCGGCGGGGCGACGTTGGATACGCTGACTGCTTTTTTCATCATTGTCACGACTGCGCGGCGACTTTGTGACATGTTCTCAGTACACATGCTCACCAACTTTGATTAATATGTGGAGTTTAACGTCCAAAAACCACCATATGGCTATAAGAGACGCAACTCACCAACTTTGGTCTCAATGGACGCCTTGTGAGGTAGACCAAGTGGCGCTATGGGCCTGAAGCGAAGTGCTTCCAGCAGGCAAGCTACAGTATAAGGAAGTCTGGCTCTATCCTTGTAAACAGGTGGTGCGCTCCCTGGAAAAAATAAGAAAAAGGAAGAGTAAATGAGTTGCTAAAATGAATTATCGAATTGTGTAGGAACGTAGCCAAAGGCTTCTAAAAGGTATTAAAAACGACGACAATAGCAAACAAAAAGGCAGAGATGAATTTTTATTGTTTCTTAATCTGGTAGCAGATTTTATGGGGCAGTCATTGCACCAATGGCCATATCATAACGTCATATGGCATATCTGTAGGCTATGAAGGAATCAGACATCCACAGGATTGTTTTTATTTATTGGGCAAGGTAATATTAAAGCTCATTCTAGTAACGTTGTTATTAATAGCATGGCTGTAGCCCAGTATCAGTGGCGTAACCAAGAGGGGGGATGTAACTTCCCCTCCCAAAATATTTCATTTTTGCTTGCGCCCCAACAGACACGCACGCATACAAACAAACGCATGCATACATACATAAATACATGAAGTATGGTTAAATGGCTCCCTCCCCCCCCCCCCCTCCCCAAAAAATATTCTAGCCACGCCAGTGGCGTAGCCAAAGCGTGCATCACCAGGCTCGTGCCCTCCCCCTCCTTCTTTCCCCTCCGAAAAAAATGTCTGCCTGCGCCCCTACTCTAGTCTGACATATGCAATCGCCATACTAGTCGGGATAGTCTCAAGCATGCGAAAGTATGACAAAACTGTGATTACCGATGGTGTCCTCGATTTCCTTTTGAATTTTTTCTTGTATGCTCGGCTCCTTGGCTAGCATTAGGAACAGCCACTGAAGTTCCCCCGCCGAAGTGTCAGTCGCAGCTGTGAAGAGGCAATCAATGTGTTAAAAATTGCCGGCAGATCACACCAATTGTGGGAATGGATTTCGTGCGACGCAGCCTGCGATTTGCTGCTTGTTGCCAACTTTCAGACAAGTCTTACAAGGTCTATCGACATTCTTGCGTAACTTCAGCAGCTGTGGCTTACCAAGCAAGTTGACCATACCAGCGTGGAAACGATATGTCAACGTCTTTCGTAACACCGGCACTCACGTTTCAGCAGAGACGGAGCGTTAGCAGCGTTCATCATCATATTCATGTGGGGACAAGCGAAGCTAGACTATTGGCTTGTTGAGTTACAGGAGTACGCATCTAAGAGTTCGTGCTGTAATAAAATCACCGACCACAGCAAACGGCTGGTATGTATCTCTTCTTGTTTAATTCACACAGAGGGGCTCATAGAACCTGACTTTTTCTGTCCTGGGTTGATGTCGATTGTGAATCACCTGCGGCATACCATGGGCCATGGTATACTGGTATGAACCTTGTATAGCATAGCAATGCAAGGGGGTAAGGTAGAGGTGAAAGGTGAAAGGGTGAGACTGAACTGTTACATAGAAAGAGAAATAGAGATGGAGAGAACGAAAGGCAGGAGAAAGATGGAGAGAAGAATGGAGAGAAATATGAAAAGAGATATTGAAAGAAAGAGAGAGAAAGAAATAGAGTGTGACAGAAAAAGATATAAAGAAATAGGAAGCGAGAAACATATAGAGAGAAATAAAGGGAAATAAATAAACAGATGGGGAAAGAAAAAAAACATGGAAGTAAACAAAGACGAAAAAGATACACGCCGAAAGCAGAGAGAAGAGAAAAAGAAAGAAATAGAGGAAGAAAAAAAAAAAGAAAAAAAGACTTGACAAATTTTAGCAAAACAGCAACAGCGAAGTACACAGTGCTTCAGCTACGCTACTTCTATATCGCTGCGCCGGAGTAGAAGCTCCGATACTCCTTCTTTTAGCATGATTGGACGCATGACGAAAAATGGCTTCTAACAGGATGATACACAGCAAAACACTATCGCAAATAAAATTAGCATGACCACACGTTTCCATGGCATTTATAACAACTGCAAGCGGATTCTCAGCAGAAGGCTTCCGAACAAGTGCCAACTTGCTAACCGAGCACTACGTGTCATAAAAATGCAAAATAAACTAAAGCGACCTTACAGAAGTATAGACCACGTACCTCCAAAGATATTCAGAACAACTTGCACCATATTTCCTTTGGTTAGGTATTCAGCGTCTCCTTTCTCTTCCCGAATAGCTTCTTCCCTAGCGGCAATCATGGCGTGCGTGAAGTTCTCAGTCTTGCCTTTAAAATGGAGAAAGATGTGTTTAAAGTTCAAAATGTTCATGACCTCCAATACCGGTTGCACTATAGCCACGTTGCCAACGAAATTGATTTGTGGGGTTTAACGTCCCAAAACCACCATATGATTATGAGAGACGCCGTAGTGGAGGGCTCCGAAAATTTCGACCACCTGGGGTTCTTTAACGTGCACCCAAATCTGAGCACACGGGCCTACAACATTTCCGCCTCCATCGGAAACGCAGCCGCCGCAGCCGGGATTTGAACCCGCGACCTGCGGGTCAGCAGCTGAGTACCTTAGCCACTAGACCACCGCGGCAGGTCGTTGCCAAGAAAAGCGCTATTAATTGATAAGCATAAATTAGCGGCTATACCTTGATTGAGACAGTGAATAGTTAGTTAAACTGAGTTTATTGGCGCAAGAACGTCAAAGCCAAGTGTGAGTAGTTGTACAAACAGTTGGTTGAGTGAGTGCACATACCTGCGACATAGGTGGCTTCAGCTTTGGTGAAAAGCTTGCCGACAATCTCCCTAAACTCTTCAAAGAGGCTCTCGATCTTTTTCTCCCGTCCGTGGTACAGGAATGCCAACCAGGGCGCGATGTCGCTCGGCAGTCCATTGGGTGCGACCTCCAGGAATAGGTTGTCGATAGCTTCCAGGCGCCGGATATCCTTGTCCCCTTCTTTCAAACTGAGAAACGAACCAATCTTAGCTGATACCAGTACAGTGTCGAGGAATATAACACAAAACAAGAAAGCAATTTAGTAAAGCTTATCTGGACCATATTTATCTTTACCAATGCATTTGTGTAACGACTGGTTATTCGATTATAGCTTACGTCAGATTATTGCAAGAATTTCGCATAAAATGATGATGAGACGCCCACTGCAGGACAAAAGCGTCTCCCATGTTCCGCCAGTCAACTTGGTCCTGTGCTTGCTGCTGCCACTTTTTACTCGCAAACTTTCTAATTTCATCTGCCCACCTAACTGTATATGCCTATTGATTCATTACTTTATTGTAAAGAACTAGGTATGTAGTCCGGCGTGTTCTGCACATCAGGTGAAGCGCAACCAGTGGCAGCGGTGAATGCCTCACCCCAGAGACCAGCGCGAGCACCATGCTGCGGGTAGCAACTCCGTAGTGGCGCATGCGTGCTCTGTTCGTCGAACGTGTCCGTGGTACCATGTTAGGCCTAACCACGTCCTTCAGCTGGCGCGTATACACAACAGTGCTGCCAACTCACTTTTAGAAAATATCCCACGATGAAATCTAAATTACCCTATGTATACTTTACCATACAGAACAATTTTAGATGCGAAGCAGCTCTTCGAATAGCCTATTTAACGCTGTCCCTCCGTCCGCACTGCGCTACCCTGGCCGCAGGTGTTGGGGTGTTGCCATTTAGGTCACGCCTGTCGCCACTCGCCGCGTGTCATCTCTCTCACTTCACCCTCTCCACCACTGGCAACTTTTGAGCGCACAATGAGCGAAGAGTATTTCTGCAATGAAACTTACAGGAAACCCAACCAGCCTCCCGTGCCCTTGCGTTTCAAACAAACGTTCACTCGAGTAAACGCTACACCGAGTTTCGCTTCAAACCATTCTTCCAGCACCCACGTTGACGCCCGTTTCAAACAAGTCAACGCCGTGCGCACCGCTGCTGCTTTGCATCCCAACAGGGTTCCCTTCGCGGAGAATGCCCATAATTTATTACCCTACGTTTTACCCTACACCTGCAAATAGCGACGCGTAACAATGATGGCGTATAGGTAACGAACACGCCACGACGTGCCTACGTGTGGGCACTGTGGAATCGGCGGTGACTTCAGTGGTAGAAAATGATATTTTACAATTCCGCCATCGCAAGCTTTCAAGACCTCCTATGTTTCCGAGGCCCGCTTCCCTACGATTGTGCGACGATGACATCTGGTAACGCCACCATTTGACGCCACATTGTGATGCCACAGTGACGTCACAATAACTTCACGATGGTTTCAAATGTTTTTGTGACATGTTATGCTATTATAGCATCAGAAGGCGATGTCAAAAGTTTTTTCGCAAAACTTGCATTGACACCAACCATCACTTTTAGTGTGCGATGAGGCATCTAAAGCTTTCGCCTTAATAAGTGAAGCCGACGACCGTTGCAAAATTTAAAAGTGTCTCTACACAACGCGCAGAGGGAGATAACAAATAGAGAGAGAGAGAGAAAGAGAGAGAGAAAGAAAGAGAGAGAGACACCCCTGAGAGAAAAAAACAACAACTTCGCACTAGGTCGTGTAATATTTTGTCCTTGCCTTTTGCTGGTAGCACTTGAATTAAAATCATCCCTATTTCGATCTGTCAAGGAATGTATCCCTCGAATATGTCACGCGGATCTTCTACATTTTTCACTGATAAATGACGAGCGAAATGATGTAATTACGCTACGTCCCCACTATACTATCCTACGCTGGATAAACAAATTCTGAAAATACCCTTCAAGCAGGGTAACTACTGTACGTTTGGCAACCTTGGTACACAATATTATTTTTATCTGCTTCTCTACCCATACTTTTTTGTTGACGCGATTGGTTTTCTTGCTTTGTGCGCTATTTTACTTCACATCGGAAACGTTTTTTCTCACACGCTTGCTTTGAACGCTCTGGGAGCCAGAAAATGGCTAGATATATGTTGCATTGGTAATACAGCGCATCGTGTATATGCAAATACGAGAGCGCATTCCAAAGGCTCTGTAGGCATTTCGTTTTCTCTCTATTTCGAAGCAGTCCACGCTGTTGCTGGTGTGCACGCACATGTGATCTATAATTTTTTCGAGCAGACACCAGATTCATGTGGTTGCCAGCCAATCAATGAGGAGTGAATCATGGCCGCACTTTTAAAACGCAGCCCATATCGGCCATTTTGACGACCAGCGCTTCCGCGTACAGTGCATTGTGGTCTAACGCCAGCCGCATGGAGCGTGTGAAATAGAACATCCACTATCTCCGCATCATGGCCACGCGGAGCACACCGTATGTATGTATCCCGGTGGCGCACCGGCTATGGACGCCGTAACGCCAGATCATAAGTTCACTTTTCGCCGGCGTAGCTTAACCGCAGCGCAGTTGGTCACACGAGCACGTTACGCTGGGCTATAACCCTCGATAAGACGCTTAAGAACAACAATGACATGGTTTAGATTGATAAACTGCACTATGAGGAATCTAGTGCCAAAAATGTTACTATCAATAGTTCATTATTTGCAGAAAAGGTGAAGGTTGAAATTTGACTTTTAAATTTCGCGCCATAATCTCAGCGCAAGACATTCAAAATTTGAAACGGTATTTTTTGGCATTTTCGCTATATTGACTTATACGCCTATATATGGCACCGATTAGTTTTCATTGATCGAATGGCGCCCCGTCTTGGTGGAACTGTTTCGCCCCATGCATGCGCCATTCGACTTCAGGAAGCTTGCTTATTGCTGAAGTATAACATGTCAATTAGCTTATCTACTGAGTTTTGAATAAGCCCGTACAGCTCACAAAAAAATGGCAGCAACATAACTAACAACATGAACTCAACCACCAACAACAACCGAACACAAAAAACTGCACCGTATACTCACTCTGTGCCGTAGACGGATACTCCTATCACGTTGTAGAGCAAGTAGAAGAACGGCTTTCTCGAGTCGATGACCTGAGGCCCTTTTGGCAAGGAATCCACGTATGCGTCTACGACGTCTGCGCATAGCTTCTCCAGGGAGTCACTGACAGCGTACTTCCTGCGACAGTCATCGGGATGCAAGCGAACGCATGTGCTTAGGACGGTGAACCTGGGGAACGCTGCTATTCATTTCGCGACTATTTAGCCTTAGCGACCACACTTGGTGGAGCAGATGTAAGTACAGAAAATGTATGCGTATATTTAAGGAAAACGTCATGCTAGGCTAATTGGTTAGAGATGTTCAACTTTCCTTGCACGAACTTACAAAACAAACTGGGCACAGCAAAGAAAGACGTACAAACACCTCAGCGCTAACTATAAACTGGTTAATACGATGCCGCGAGGTGTATGTGCAGTCCTAAAGAATATTCAGTTAATAAACGAGGCTGGATGGCGTCGGTAGATGGGGAAACGCTGTACATGCACGTGTCCACTGCATAATCTTATGTTCATAATCGTATTAGGAAAATGATAGCTCGTGCTGATGTGTTTTGTATGTTTTTTTTCGCTATGTAAAGTACGTTATGCAAGTTCGGGCCATGAAAGTTGGTCGTGTGTATGTATGTATGTATGTATGTATGTATGTATGTATGTATGTATGTATGTATGTATGTATGTATGTATGTATGTATGTATGTATGTATGTATGTATGTATGTATGTATGTATGTATGTATGTATGTATGTATGTATGTATGTATGTATGTATGTATGTTACACCATCACATAATTATGTCAATGTGCATTCAAAGCGAGTACCTAAAAGAAAGCAGGTGGTAACTTCCCATGCCTAGCAGTACTTATGTGTTAACTTTAACAACACCACACTTGACTGAACATGAGTGATAATAAGCTAGCAAGGTTACGAAGCACTTGTATATATATTCATAAGGCCACACAGTGCAGTTCAAGAAGAACGTGTTTTGATGCAAAGGGTCAAATAGAGGCCGAGTTATACTGGGTGGAGGACATTTGAAATATTTTCTCGTAACAGCTATTTATGTAGTCATCATAGGGCCTATACAAAAGACCCATGTGATATCCTAGAGGTTCCATCATATATCTTATAGGTAATGTCGCATAGGTAATATAAAGTGTTTTTGCCTGGGCTCAAATAAGGCCTAAAATTCTCCAACTTGGTGTTCTCTTACCTGACAGCCAAAAGCGCCACCTTTCTTAGGGCCTTCCATCGCGGGTTGTAGTCTTCAAATAGAATATCATGGTGTCCCTGAGTTTGCAATTCACCTGTTGCATGGAAATGAAAAAAAAAAGAAACTCCTTGTATGAAAATAGGCATGCAGCACGTAAAAGAAAATTTACGCAATTTGAATTCACGCAGTTCAAATTCAGACATATTGTGTACGTAAGACATATTGATTGAAATGATGATTCGAGGGATTCGCTACACATGAGAATCACTTTCAAGTGGTGATCTGTATCTGCTGAAATGCTTCGTAGCAGCAGCCTCATGAAGGTTGGTAAAGTACAGTAACATTCAGATACTTTAATTGAGGCACGCATCTGCTGGTCATTTTATGGGAGTTTAATTTGTTTAATTCTGACATTCGATTATTACGCTCCCAGGAACGAAAGACTCTACCTTAATGTGCCGAGGCACTGAAAATCAAACTTATCGCATAAGAAAGCGGGTACTTACATCGTTTGTCTTCATATATCAATAAAGCTGCAATCGTGAACCAATATTTTCCCACGCCATAAAACACCACTGTGTCGGCTGCAGGTTAAGGTAGCCTTCACTAAATTATCCCATTATTGAGTTGAAATGGCCAATTCACTCGAATGCACATAGTGCAGATATAGTAAGAAGCCAAAGAACACCTTCTGTGCCGTTTCTACCACTTGCATGAACGGCAAACACTGCAGCTTTAGTTGGGTCTCCATAATGATCTAGATTTTACAGAATAAAATGTCTGAGATCTTGGTAGCCTGGCCTTGATGTTTTGTCAGTACAAGATTTCATACGAGTTATTGTGCTGTCTAGCGTACGCCAGACCTAAGCGCCCGACTGTACAAGGCACTGCACCGTGGTGAAGAATTATGTATGCTCGTGAAACTTCCTTTTCCTCACACACACGCGCGCTCTCTCTCCTTATCCCCCTTTCCCTCTGCACATATAGGAGTGAGAAAGTTCTGGTCAGCCTGGCAGCTTTTATTTCCTCACTACCCCCCCCCCCCCCCCGAACGAGTCCCGTAATAACGCGGCCTACAAATCGGAGTTCTTCTCAAAAATGCAAATCATATTCGGGATGTGATAACAAGACCGATGGTAACGCTCAAATGCGTAGCCAGAAATTTTTTGGGGGAGGGGGGGACACCTCCTTGATTTTGGGAGGCCCACCCCCTTGAAATGGTGATTTTTCACTCTTGGGTGTCATGGCGGAAAAAAATTCAGGGGGGGGGGGGGGGCATGGGCCCGGTGTGCTACTTCCAGGCTACGCCCCTGGTCATAGTGTATAGGTATATAAGTCCCTCAATACAAGTGTAGCTATGTATATGCACAAAAATGCCTATTGAAAATGCGCTCAATTTCGTACGAATAAAACTTCGTTTTTAGAGTGCACAAGCTTACCCATTTTGGTCTGGAATCGTCCAGCGAACTCGTGTCTACGCTCGAGGAACGCCTCACGAATGGCAGCTTGACCATTCAGGATCACCATGGGCTTGTGAGCCATCCACAGGGTGAACACGTCACCGTACGTCTTGGACAGTTCGGTCGCTTTGGAGTGCAGGTCCTTGACGTTGCGAAGCGCTGCGAAACGGAAGAACGACGGATCATAGACGCCAACAATACGATACACGTTTTGCCGACCCGTTTTCTCCCTGTAATGTGCGCGCCTCAATATCAAGGCCCAAAAGTGTTCTACATAATCGTATAACATTGAGTGGCACCCTTACGGTTCAGCCGTGTTACAAGATACGTTGTACTGATATATCGTCTGTTTCTGATAATCAAAAACACATTGAAACGTAACCCCTTCCATTCACTGAGAGACGAAACTTGCTTGTTTTTAAAGACGAAGGTGTGTAAGCCGTGTGTCAGTCCGTAATCGGTAATTTTAAATTAGCATCATCACGAAGAGACGCGCCTGTTCTTCGTCCTCTTCATCTTCTGCTTTGGTCAAAGAAAACGTGCGCTGACTGGTGTGGCGCGTGGTTATGATAACACGGATGTTCGAGGGAATGAGCTGAGAGAGAAAGAAAAAAAGAAAGAAAAAGAAAGTGACAGAAATAAAGAGAGGAATTGGAATCCGCATACCCACGATCTTAAGTCGAGCATAGTAAGCACTGAGCTGTCCAGGCACGCGGGCAGAGCATAACATGGCCTTGTACAAGAGAGAGAGAGAGAGAGAGAGAGAGAGAAATACTCTAAGAAAAGTCGGATTGACAAAAGGAAAAGAGAGGGAGAGGAAATGGAAAAGAGACTAAATAGATAAAAAGAGCCGGAAGGAGAGAGAAACAAATAGAGAAAGTAAGATACAGAAAGAAGGAGAGGCAGAGAAGAGATAGTAAACAGAGAGGCAAAGAGAGAAGTCAGTTTAAAAAAGAAAGAGAAAAATAGACAGAGAAAGAAGAAGGCCGACCAATTTTGCTGTTTCGTCCGGCTTGACACCAATAGTGCGAAGCTGCCTTAAGATTTCTTTTTCTTTTTTTTTGTGCATATAGTAACATGCGAAAGGAAGTCATTCGTCACGAACTGCTGCCACAATGCGGATAAAGGCGATCGCCCCGGAATACAAGCACGACTCGCTTCGAGTAACCGGGGCTGACTTACACAAGAGGTTTCCGACAAGTGGAAGCGGGAAGGGTCCTTTCGGGTACTTGGACACTCGGTGGTAGAAGCGGCCCAGAAAGTACGACAGCGCGAACACCACCACAGTGGTGATCCATCGCCAGTCCGACGCGTTGGAGACGATCTTCTCCAGGAGAGCACTCATGGTTGTGCCTTAGCTGCAGGGTAACGAGAGTGCGAAGAAAACAGGGAGGAGGTGTGTAAGTGGTGCTTAAGCTGTAGGTAAAGATAAAGCGCGTTGTCGTTTTCTTCACGCCACAGTTTCGAGCCTCAGCCATTGAATCAGTACTAGAACCACCGCAGAGTACAGACCTCATTGAAACTATCAACAATTGCCTCTCCCGCACATTCGCTCTTACGTCACATACTGTTAAACTTAGTGTATAGAGAGAAAAAGGGAGAAAAAAATTGTGAAAGTGGAGGAGTTAAGCGGAACAAGAATGTCTCGTTCGCTATAGAAAGGATCGAACACTTGTAAAATACACGTCGGTTATTATGCTGAGATGTACATTTGCTAACTTCTCCGGTATGCATTACACTGTCTTCGTCTCTATTTCAAGAAAAAATAAAGTGAAGCCTTGGTGCATTGGTCACTTCAGGCGCCCAAACAAAGTAGAGTGCTACTATGTCTGAACAAATTATGCCCAATAAAAAATATCCAACAATTATCCGCAATAAGTAGCAGTGGTTAGCGCCGCTGCACGCATTTTCTCATTTGCATAGGGCATCATCAAAGAGAAATAGAGTGCGATGGTTCGAAATTGTTCAAGAGATCAGAACGCCATGCTCACTCACCCAATGCCGACTGCGGCAAATATCCACGGCGACGTTCGGCCTTCACCTTTTGCGAACCTGTTGAGATAAACGAAACGCCGAGGAGGCGTACGGTGTGGTCTGATACCGGTGCTTCGACGAACACCCAAACACTATGCTCGGTTCTCGTGCCGAAGGTAAGAGCTACGACGAGCTCTTGTTTTTCCGAAGAGCTAGGCTTTTGTGTGCTCACATTATCTGAACCATTACCGTGACGGCGTGCCGCCCTCTGACGTGCAAAGTCTTTCGTTTCGTCACACCGCCATCATGTTATTTACCGTGGCTAAGTGAAGAGTACGATTGTCCTTGGTGCTCATCGCCAAGTAGCGCGTGGAGATAAAAGAAAGAGCGAAAGCGTTCTTTTGAGTCGCATGTTAGCGGTGTACTAGCGGTTGGGCAGCACTGCTCCTGCTAAACACACACACACACACACACACACACACACACACACACACACACACACACACACACACACACACACACACACACACACACACACACACACACACACACACACACACACACACACACACACACACACATACATACATACATACATACATACACATACATACACATACACACACACACACACACACACACACACACACACACACACACACACACACACACACACATATATATATATATATATATATATAAGTCAAGTAGATCCTCCAAGAGAACGGTAACAACGGAAGTGTTTAATTCGACAGTTTCGGCCAGAGTCTGGCCTTCATCAGGAGTCATGGTACATTCTGTTTGCGCTCACATTTATAGTATTTTGGGTAAAAAATGAGAGGGAAGGAACGAAAAAAAAAAAAAAAAAAAAAAAAAAAAAGAAAGAAAGAAAGAGTTTGAAAAACGAGAGAGGAAAGGATATCCAGAAAGTTCCAGGTTCCACTGTGCTTCGCGAGTGGCGTCGTCAGTGTGTATTTTCTTAGTATTGCGTTCAGTGCAGTTTGGTGGCGGTCCCTTTATTGTAGACGGGGCCTGGCTAAGGTAAGGGCTTGCGTGTCGCGAAAACTGCTTTTTTTATTATTATTTTTTATTTTTTATTTTTTAAAGACCGTCACTAATTCGGCGTCGGGGACAGCGTTCCGAGGCTCCAGGAAGTCGGCGCGGGAGAAAATGTTTCTTAAGGCGCTGTCTGTCGTTTTGAATGCTATTTTGCTCTGCGAATCCGCGTTTGGGGGTTTTAATTGTGTATGGGGTGGCCCTTCTATATGTCGGGCTTTGTTGTCGAAATGCGGGAAGGGTTTCCAAACTGCGAGAAAGGACGTTTGAAGTGATTGCTATTTTGTACTGGGAAACCGCGTTCGGGGCGTTTAGTTGTGTATGTGGATGTCGGGCTTTGTTGCCAAAATCGGGGAAGGGTTGCCAAAAGGCGAGAAGGGGCGTTTGAAGTGATTGCATTTTGTTCTGGGAATCCACGTTCGGGGCTTTTAGTTGTGCATGCGGTGACCCTTCGACAAGTCGGGCTTACAACTATTGTTCGGTTATTCAGAGAAATAGAAATAGACGACAGTGGTTCACTGAAACACGCAAAGATATTTGTAGTTGTCCAGTCCTCGTCGCCGCCACAGTGCCGCGAAATCTTGAACTGTTATGATTACAATTATAAACTTACATATACACACATACACCCCCATACATATGCGCATATGCATAAGTACATATACACATATAAATGTATATGTATATATTATAGTGCTTTGATTGCTGCAAGTGTACCCGGACTTTCATTTATGCCTTTTTCGAGGGTGTTAAATCGGTGTATGAGGTATGATTCACGTTGTTCACGTTCCCGGTTTGATTTAAATCCTGTTTCTAAAAGTGTGACTGACAATTTGTCGAAGGAGTGGCCGGGAAGGTTAAGGTGTTTTGATAGAGGTAGATTCGGCGCTGATTTCGCGTGGGCTCTGTGATTATTGAAACGAATCCTAAAGGGTGTTTCCGTTTGTCCGATGTATTGCATGCCGCACACGTTGCATTCAAGTAGATATACCACATTAGGGGAATCGCATGTTAGATTTCCTCGTATGTTAATTGAAAAGTTGGATTGTGTGCTGCTTGCCTTGCTTGTATCTCGCATCGCTTTGCATACAAAACATCGAGGCTTCAGACAAGGTCGGCATGAACTGTCGGAAGTTGAAGTATTGATTTGGGAGTTTACAAGTGTGTCTTTGAGGTTGCGTGTTCGTCGGTAAACGACGCCAGGAGCCGATGGGAATGCACGTTTTAGACGTTCACTTTGTTCCAGTATGTTGTAATGTCGTTTAAGGATTTTGTTAACGTTGGGGAAATTCGTGCTGTATGTTAAACATAGGTGTGTCTGTTGCAGGTTGTGTTGTGGTGGCCGCTTCATCAGAAGGTCATCACGCTGAAGTTTTCTAGCTTTTTGAATAGCGTCATCAATTACATGTGGAGGATATTTCTGTTTTTCGAGCACGAGTTTAAGCTTTTGTGAGCTCGCGTGGAAGTCAGTGTCTTTTGAGCAAATTCGCTTAAAACGGTGGGCCTGGCCGTATGGAATGCTGTTTTTACAATGGCGTGGATGATCACTTTGGTAATGGAGGTACTGTTGTCGATCTGTTGGTTTGCGGTAGAGGGTTGTGGAAAGTTTATCATCTTCTATTATTATGGTAACGTCAAGGAAATTTACGGTTACTTGTGAGTAGGTGTGTGTGAAGTGTATGTTTGGATGCACAGTATTGTAAGTATCGATAAAGTTTAGCAGTTCATCCTCGCTGTGAGTCCAAATAAGAAAAATATCGTCAATGTACCGCCTGTATAGGAGTGGTTTCAAGGGAGTTTGGGACAAAAATTCGGTTTCTAGTTCTCCCATAAAAATGTTAGCATAGTTTGGTGCGAGTTTGGTACCCATGGCGGTGCCGCTGATTTGTCGAAAGTACTCTTGGTTGAACTCGAATGAGTTCAGTTCTAATACAAGTCTTGTGAGGCTTGCGATGGCAGAGAAATCTGGGGTGTCAGGTTGTCTATGGTTTGTGTATGTGTTTTTTAATGCCGCTATGCCATCATCGTGGGGAATATTTGTATAAAGTGAAGACACATCAAGGGTAACTAAGTATGAGTGTTTCGGAATGCGCAGGTCTGCAATATCTCGAAGAAAATGTGAGGTGTCTTTTACGTACGACCCGAGAGTGCACGGAATGTGGCCTATTAATTTGTCTACGTACCCTGATATGGGCTCGGTTACTGTGCCTATACCTGAAATGATTGGTCGGCCTGGATTACCGGGTTTATGAATTTTTGGGAGTATGTAGAAGCGCCCTGGACGAGGGTGTACTGGCCGCATTAATTTGTGCTCACTGCGTGTTATTCTTCCCTCGTCCAACAGCTTCTTCAGTTCTGTTGCTACAATACGCGTGTATTTCTCTGTCGGGTCCCCTGGGAGGCGTTCGTAGAATTTTAAGTCGTTTAGTTGACGGTATGCTTCTTGTAGGTAGTCGGTTGTATTTAGGACTACAATTGCCCCTCCTTTGTCAGCGGGCTTTATTATTATATCAGTCCTAGATGTTAGGTTTTGCATACTCTTTTTCTCGGATTTTGTCATGTTTTCCCGCTTTCCCTTCTGTCTGTGATACTCCTGTAATATATCTTTCTGGACCGCGTTAATATATAAGTCCAGACACTTGTCTCGATGACTATTTGGTGTCCAATCGCTTGTTTGGTGGCGGGGAGTCTTTGGAATGTTAGACGGCTTGTCCAAGAAATATTCGTGCAGCCTCAATTTTCTAGCGAAGTTGTCGAGGTCTCGGAGTAAGTGAAACTCATCGAAAGATTTTCTAGTTGGGCAGAAGTTTAGTCCTTTAGATAATAGTTTTACTTCATCAGTTGACAAACTCGTGTCTGATAGGTTTATAATCGCAGCGTCGTAGTGAGTGTTGATAGGTGTTTTCTTGTTTGTGCCGTGAGTTTCCTCGTGGGTGAATGTGTTGTAGTCATACAGTGTAGCGTCTGGTAGTGTGGGGTTGGAAACATTGTCTCTTTTAAGTTTCTGTATTTTAGTTTTCTTGACCTCTTGGTATTTATTCTGTTCGAACTCTGTTAGTAGGGTGATTTCCTCGTTTGATAAGTGGTTGTTGTCGCGCAGAATGGCGTTGGTCATGTTGGTCAGTTTCTTTACTTGTTTTTCACTGTGGTTGATTGCAATTTCTGTTAGCTTGAGTGATGCTTCTAGAAGGACGTTTTGCCATGCGGCCTGGTTGTTTTCGTCGAGATTTGTGGCGGCAGGGGTGATGGAGAGTGTCATTCCTTTGGGGGCTATTCTAGCATTTAGGTATACTTGCAGCGTCGATCTATGCATTGCATGTCTGATTCGTTTATCCGTGAGTTTTCTTACTTTAAGAAAAGTGGCACTGTAACCGGAGAGCAGAGAGCTGGACTTACAGATTGGAAGTCAGTCTTCTTTTGGGCGCGGGGACGGCACTGCAGAAGTCCGCAGGTTGTAGGTGTGTTGTGTAGGCCTTCGTCGTTGAAAGGATGATCCGGGCGTCGAGCTGCTGGCAGGCGTTGAGCTCCGAGCGAGCGTTGAGGGCAGGATGTCCGTGTTGCTCGATGTTTCTTTGGGTGGGGTCGGCAATAGAGCAACACGCCTCTGTTGGTCGGCAGGTTTCACCTCTTGGGAAGGTGCGGTACTGCTGTCGATGACGGTGGGCTGTATCGGGCGTCGAGGTGTTATACTTTCAACGATCGTTGGGAACTCTGTCGTGGTGTCAGAGGTCTGCAGTGCTCCGGGAACGTGTTGGTGACTTCTGGTTCCCTGGTGATATTCTTCTGTTCGCATTTGGATGGGAGTGGTAGGTTGGGATGACCACCCCGCGGCAGGCTCGAGGTTCCCGCGATATATTGCCCCTTTCAGCGTTTGAGCAATGAGTGCTACCCCCATGAAGCTCGGATGTAGTCCGTCCGCAGCAAGGAAACGTCTGGCTGGCAGTTGGTCGAATTCATAGTCGATGTATGACACCTTGCCCGGTTTCCGGCAGTACGTCTTGATTGTCTCATTAAAGTGACGAGCTTCCCTGTTGAAGCGGTGGACGAATTTCTCGTTGGAACGTTGTAGGCGCCTGTTGGTGGATCGTGGTGGCACACATGAGACAATTAGTCTGTCAAGTTCCGGGCGTCTTTGAAGAGTGTTATTTACCAGGCGGCGAAGGCGGCGAAGGGACTCATCCGGCCCGTACAGTTCCAATTCGCTCGTCCCCAC